CTTTATGCGTTTCACTTCATTGCGGAAGGCCCTTATGTTTCGTTTGAGATGCACAAAATATTCACCAAAGTTGGTGGCTTCGTTAAATTTATTAGTAATACGTATTTTGTAAATATGGGGCACGTCAGGCACTTCCTTGAATGTCCACTTAATCAATCATAACATCTTGATATTTATTCTAGTGAGTATCAGCTGATGAACAGGAAACGACCAATGTAACAAAAAGAACTTTACGAAAATAATTATAGTATGTTGAAATAGAATTTTAGGCAATTTCTGATGTTTTCATTGTATTCTATAATTTTATTACCAACACTAAAGATTTAAGAACCGTAAAATTTCAATAAAGTTTAATGAGAAAAACGTTTGGTAAAAGTGTGCACGATATAATAATAAATATTTAAAGAATGAAATCTCGAATATATTTAATGACGGTAAGCTATCGAAGATGAACGTATATGCAATCTTAAATTTTAAAAAATATCTGCTGTATTGGAAATGAATAGCACAAAAAGGAATGGGGTAGCACAATAGAAATGTTCAAGTGTTGTAAACCCAACCCACATGCACACCTTTCAGAAAAGGTAAAATTGGTTCGCGAAAAGGGTGCAGGTGCCTATAGTGACTGTTTCAAAATCAATTTTCCAATACGATGTGTGCGAGACTAGATTTGAAGCACTCTTGCTTTCCTGACTCTGTGTAAGTCGATTCCTTGCGCACGGAGGAGTATCGAGAAAGTTTTTGAAATTCATAAATAAAATATGTCTCAACAAATAATAAAACCGACGGTCGTTGATGTTTAAAACTTTCGCTTTATGGTCACAATCAAAATTATAATTCCTATGCGTTAATTTCTCACAGCACTTGATGTACAAGTATCATAAATATTAATAAATCCGAATACTTAAGATTTGTCGCCCCGGCAAATCCCTTATAGTAAACACTGATAGATATTTACGTCCGAAAGTAACAGCTAAAGAACTTCCTCTTACCGTTGAAGAAGCATTTGTAAGTTATTCTTCATTACCTACACGGATTTGTTTCGTCTCTACGATATGATTAATAGAACTGATTGGCGTATTATAATTAGAATAAGTAAACTACAAAAATCTGCACCGGTAAAGAGTAAAAACAGATCATATTAAAAGTCTTATAATGTAAATAGGTCTCTCAGAACTGTATCAATCGAGTTAAAACCTTTTCCGGGTGATAACGCGTAGCATAAAGTTTACGCTATTAGGCATATCGCGAGGTTGTGTGGAAGTGACAGAAAAAGTAAGTGACTTTGGGCGGAGCCCGGAACTGATATCTTACTGTATAAGATAATAAGTTTTGTGCTACTTCATAGTTACTTCTTGTTTATTCGCATGTGACTCGCTACCGAGAGTCTTGATGATACCACGAATATTAAGAATTGTGTTATACGGCAATGTCAAATACATCATAGCATTTATGCATTAGTCGTTGACCATAATACTACGTGTACAATATTTTCCATTATATACATGGAACGTTGAACAAATGCCTAAACAACGGTAAGATAAATAGATAATACGAGACCTGAAATTTTCGTGTTTACCAATAATATATTCGATCGCTGATATTTGCACACATACAAACACATATACATATATTTATTTAAAATACAGACGATAGTAACTCTACATAATATTAGTAATGAAAATGGATGACAAAAAACATATTCTTAATTTTTTTCAATTAGTAAATTTTAGTAAACAAATTGCTTACTTTCTGAACTTTTTTAAAAATGTCATCATTATCACCGTGAATATTACGCTTCTTTTTGGACTGCATGAACTCAGATACGAACTCTACCATTGTTTGCTGAATATACTTAAAGTATTCACCAACATTTTCCTAGTGTTTATTTTTGGCTGAATTCAATCTGCTGGTAATGTGACTTATAAGGCTCTGACAAATCATGCATTTCTTCAACAGCCCATTTAGTCGTGGCATCGATCACATCATCTTGATATTTATTATAACACGCCTCAGCGGATGTCCAGAAAATAGTCAGGGTAACGAAAAGAATGCTGTAGAAAAACAAAAGGAATGTAAATTAAAATTTTTTTCTTAACTTTAAGCTGATGAATAAATTTAAAGTCTTTTATAATACATACATTCTAATTAAGTCGAATAATCATTAGAAATTTTAATTGCAGACAGTTTTTGATAGATAAACGATAAAAATAAATATACGGCTATTAATTTTTCATTCATGAAAATGCCTACATTATCATTCAAAAGCTTCAACATTTTTTTCGAATAAAGAAAAAAGATAATAGAAACGAATATAAAGGTTTTAAATAATTAATATTTGGAAAAATGGAAACAGTTAAGCCGTGTGAACTAAAATGTATCTTGGAGGGAATTTGAAAGTGTAACGATTACTCACAGTGCTAAAAATGTTGACAATATTTCAGTATATTATAGCTGTGATATAACTAACAATATTTAGCAAATTAGTCCATTTTATACCTTGAATTCTTGAATACTCATTAATATAAAAATAATACACTTTGTCACCGATAAGAATGTAATTAACTTATTTTCATTAAAATATATCTTTGAAGGAAGTGCACATAGACTATTAAAATTTATTGTCGCGTATTTTATATAATAGTTTCTATTCGTAAAATAGAAAACATGATATATTTTGTGATTTAACATTGTTATCATTCTTCTGTGTAACGATTACGTTAATTAATGTAAAGAAAGTAAATTTTTGAAAAATATTTGTATACATAACTCACGGATTTGAAGCTTTAAGAAGCTGTAAGAAAATATTTAATGTTATCTTACGCAGTGACGCAATTAATTAAAATGTATACATATATATTTTACTATTAGATGTCATTATATCAAAATACACATATTATTCGTAAATTGCGAAGATTGAGCTTCGTATTCACGATAAAAGGATTTAAGAATGTTTACAAAAATAAGTATTTTTAATATCGATACTTTCGCGTAGCCGTTATAATTTTTCAAAAGTTTTGCAACGTCAGAGAATTCTTACAAAAAATAAGGTCCATACTTTATAATTCTAGTATAAGTGATCCTACTCTAACGCTGTATTTATTCAAGCATAATCTAGATAAAAGATTATTCGAATAAATATTCGAACAATAAAGAAAAGAGCATTGTTCGAACGTTAGTCTAAGCGGATATCCTTTTCATTTCACTCAGAATATATTTATACGAACGTGAATCGCAATAAATCTCAATTACAAAGTCACAATTTTCATCTCTTACTCTCGCAAATTCATATATACCAGAAATATGACAAATTGAAATCAGCAATTTCCAAGTGCGTGCGCCATATACGAAGAACAAGCAATAATTTATAAAGGATAAAATAGAGTTAATCCTTCCATCAGCGTAAAAAAAGGACCATCAGAAATGCGGAGGTTTGCTGGGCAACCGCAACGTCACACGACAGGGGGAGTGGGGTTTACGGCGGTTAATCCGCCGAGCGGTAAATTCGAGTGACAGTAGCGTCGACCGACCGCCACAAAAGGAGAGGGGAGTAGCACATGCAGATAAGCCCCGGAAAAGACGGCCTCTCTCTCTGATTTACGATTATTGTTTAAGACGCGTACACTCTCCTTATCGATCTACGTTATGACGCACGAATCAAGAATATTAGTCTTCCCTATTGCCGCATCAATCAGCATTTTTAAGTTGGAAAAAAAATTTCAGGGAAGATAACGTATTATTTTAAGGAAGACTTAGAAAAGAATAGGACGCTTGCTTCTTTTCGGATAATGTTACCAATTTTTCTGTCGGCTTCTGGATTTATTCGACGAGCTACTTATGATATTATGATGTTATCGGTGTCTTCGCGTCAATTTTTATGGAAATTTCTGAATGCGATTGTGTGCTGATAACTTTTATTATTATGCAAGCGTGCTCTGGTGTAATGCGATGACTCATCTCTCTAATCATTTCTCACGATAATGATTCATTATGAAAAATATATAATTTTTTTATGCGAAAATTGCACTCAGCTAGAAGAAAAAAACGTTGTGTTTGTATACAACAATGTAAAAATATATATTTCAGGCAATAAAATACGTAAGTTTATTAGTGGCAAATAACTCATCGATGCTCGGGCGATAAAATCTCATGGCCAACAATTTTTCTCTACTCTACTTTTAGGCTAAGGGTTCGACGCTCTATAGTTATACGATTTCGCTTGAGTGTGTAGCTTCTTATCACGGAACTGTGGAGGTAATCGAGTAGAAGCTTTTTTTTTCTATATCTCGTGGGAGCTTTTTTCCTTTCTCCGTCTTATTGTATTTGACGTGATTATCGTGTCTCGTAAAAGCTATTGAAAAGCATATACGTTACATGTTTGACAATCTATTGTTGGGCTTGACACCATTTATGACATTTACGTGTGTGTGCGTGTTATGCTGATCGACTTGAGGTTATAGTTCTTCGAAGTGTTTTCTTGCAAATTTGAAGAAAGAAAAGGGTAACTCAGTTTTGTAGCCGGAGTTTTGTTGCCTCAAGTTTTATTGATTTTGCATTTTTCTCGCATACTTTCATCTATTTTATATTTGTCGTCAATATCGATTCAGTTTTATTAGAAAATTGTACATATATAAGTCAGTCACTAGTTCTTAAGGTATTTTTATATACTAATCTACGCGCTAATTTCATATTATGAGTTAATATCAATAATTACGCATACGAGTCATTTTTCAATTTGACATTTCATTCTCGGCAAAACAAATATTCTTCCATTACTCGATTATTAAAAGTTAATCTGAATATTAAACACATCGATCAAACGCTCTAGTGAAATTTACAATTAAAAAGTAAAACACATGGCAGAAATATGAACAGAGCAGCAGCGCCTCATTATTTTGCAAAATGAAACCGAACGCGATGGAGAATTAACAATAGGGTGGAGCGGGAGCAAGGTAAGCGTCTATGAGCAATATAATAATGAAAATTACATGGTTTAACAGTACCGAGCACTTGACCGCCTCGTATCCCGGCACAGCGCGTAACTCGGCCACCGGCTCACTAGCCAGCTCGAGAGAAAGCAGTGCCTCCCAGGGACCAGCACCATACCGCGTTCTCATGGTTGGATCTGCGGCTGTTGGCAAAAGTTCCCTCGTGTCGCAGTTCATGACCTCTGAGTACCTACATGCCTACGATACGTCTATTGGTAAGCTTTAATTTTCTTTCTTTTTTTGTTAATCTATGGAAAATATATGGAGTATGAGTTGACTTCGCGACGCTGTTGACTTTTGATAAACATATTAATATCCAACGTGTATATTTTTGCTTTGAAAACTGTTTGAGAGGAATGTGCTAAAATAATGTATTGCAAAATACAGCGCCGAAAATTGCTTTCTGTAGATTTTTAATAAAAATATTGTTTTGAGCTGGCAAGTTTTTATAAATGAATTATAGAAAAGCTTTTATAAATGAATTTCAGGAAACAAAACAAACAACAATTTGGAAGGAATGTTTTTCGATTAAAAGTTATTATAGATTTGTTTACTTAAAGTCTGTATAACCAAGCTCTATCAATGTACATTTACGGCCTTTTATAAACAAGTTCATAAAGATGCCCCTTTCAGTAGAGAAAATTATTAATGTTTTATAAAAGGTTGATAAAATTAAATTGATGCTCAGTTTTTTTTGAGCCTATACCCGAGAGTTGTTCGCGAGTAGTAAGCGAATCCACCTTCGTATTCGAAAAAAAATGTCGTCTCGCAATTTCCTACCAGACATGTGCGCGGGCGAAAAGAAATCTCAAGAACCCACACAATCCGAGCTTTCGAAAGAAAAAAAAGGAAAGAAAAGCCAATGAAATCACGACGTAAGTTTATTTCATTTTATGAGCGACACGGGACCGAGAGCGAGAGAGAGGAAAAAACGCAAAGATTCGCGCACACTCCAAGAGACCTTATCATTGCCGGCCCGATAAGTTTCGCGGGATTATTGCAAGCGCAAGCGAGATGAGAAAAAGAAAAAGCTGAGCCGGCTTATTCCGGTTCTTGCTTCTTCCATCAACACGAGCAAGGACAGCTCTTGCGCTTTTTTTGCTGCTACTGCTGTTTGATGAAGCAAGATGCCGTTTATTGGATATTTCTTTCTTTTTTTCCTTTTCATCGGCTGTTTCATACATTTTTTGACCCAATGCATAAATTGAAATCGATCGTCTTTTGACACGACGCATAATTGTTGGGGTAACGTCAATTTTGAAATACAAAATGATTGATATAAATCGATTGATTCTTATTCGGACGTGCGTGTGTGCATTCATTCGCGAATGTCAATAAAACGTCGAATCACTATGGAAAATGGATTTTCCATCTTCCATTTGTGCGCCTCTTATTTGTTTTCTAATGGACTTGTTCCGCTTTTTTATTTCTTCTTTCATATTTACGCCACGGTAATATTGACGATAGATAATTGGGGAAAAAAGTTACATTATGCAATGCTAAAGTACAAAATTGACAATTTTCAATCGTGTGAAATTATTTCGGCTAGATTTTTGATTTACAAAAAAAAACTTCGCTCTGCGGTACCGAACATTCAAATAAAACATGTTTTTGTTACCCGTCGAGTTTCTATTTACCCAAAACACCAAATTAGAACTCCCGTCAATGGAAACTGGTAGACATGCACGCACAACGTATCTGACAACAGAGAAAAAAGTGTTTTTCTCATTTGAAACTTTTCGAAATAAAATAGCCACATGCAAACAGAGCAGTGTTTTGTAGAGAAATTCCGGATGTATTTTTACCTGCGAGCGCGACGGAAATTTCATCGTTTCTCTTCCTCTCTCCTTGCACATAGTAGTTGTCCGGTCAAGTTGGCTTCGATTTGAAATTCAATTGCGATAGCCTAATTTGATTTTTCTCATTGTTGCCGGCATGATGACAGTTTTGCTGTGTTGCAATATTTGTGTGATAACATTACGCAGCCTAGGCGCTAAATCTATTTTCTCTTGCTTAACCAGATTGTAAACATTGTAATTGAGTATGTTCCGTTCAATAAACGAATTTTGTGTACAGGTAAAGTTTCGCGATAAAGTTTAAACTCGATTTATATATTACATAAAAAAATCGCTTGATGTCAAAAAGCTTTTACAAAACAAAAGCATATTATATTATAACATAGTGTTTAATCTAAACATTATAATTCGAGAAAAGAGAAAGAAAAAAGGAATAAGATTAAATTAAGTAGAAACTATCTTTAATGACAGGATGGGCGGCTTGGGGGCAGGTGTGAACGATTAAATGGAACATTGTCGTTTTAAATAGAAACTTGGCTCTTGAATGAAATAATAAATTTAATATAAAATACAATCAAACTACACTAAAAGCCTGAAATTCAGCCATTATAAAAAAACTTAATACTGGAACGAAGAAAAAGCCATTTAAATTCAGGGTATCTTTACAATGGAAATAAACAAAATATAATTTAGAAATTATTTAAAGCGGATAAATAAATTTACGAATGCTCGCTTATCCTGTACAAAATGCGAGTTGAATGGCCATTCACAAAATTCTTACCAGCTCGACACGCGTATCAGCGGTAAGATATTCACCCAAGTAGGGAGAGTGTTCCCAAACCCACAGCACAACGCAGTCCGCGGCCCTTTGATGGAAGAGGCCCGATGCCGTTGAGAGGAAGTCAAACTTTAGAAGACGCGGCGTACCCTCAGCTAGGTAGGCATCGAAGATAGCCGCACGTAATCGCCAAGATGACGCTGGATACACTCTCGCGTGAATGCCATAGATCGAACGATAGGCACTTGACGGAGTAAAACTGTTGGACCCGAGGATAAGAGATTTCAGACGAGAACGCACGCTAAAGGCCCAAATTTTCCTGAGAGACTGACTGGCCTCCCGACAGCGCTTCGCCATTGCGAGCAAAGGGAGCAACTCCCCACCCATGGGCCTCTTTGCGTAGGTCCAATCAGAAGACGCGAAATAAGCCAAAGAGATAAAGAGGCCGAGCGGGCTATCGGTTGTCGTCACAGCTCTCTTCTCATAAAATTAAGATTTATGCGAGACAGACACGTGTTAGTGTTAATGGGTTTTACGCTAGTTTGTTGCTATATCTCTCTCTCCTACTCTCTGTAGCCTCGCTTAGGCAGCGGCCTTTGGCCTACATGGCAACGACATACGGGGTTGTTCAGAAAAGATGATTACCAAAGTAAAGGTGAAAGCGCGCTCAAATTTGCTAACACCTGGCACGTATACGGCGCGAACATACATATTTTACTCTAAATAAAGTGAACAAACACGCGAATGAGTGACTTCCTCGATTGGACTAAAAGTGACTATATAATGCTTCTGCTCGTGCAGTCGGAGGTTCTTTCTCTTCCGGTTTTCTTTTTTTTTTTAACAAATATGCTTGTCGCCTTAATTAACAGTACTAGGCACATACGCGAGCCAAATTGCACAATTAAATCTTATTGCACGAGTGAGCAAATCATCGCTCGTTCTCGCTTTTACGCGTATCTGAACAATAACGAACTCTAATAAGCGCAATTAAGCGAGCTCACGAAAATCCCTCCAATTTCCTTTCCATCGCTCGGGCACTTGTGTTTCTATATTCTTTACGAGTGGCCGCGCGGCGACAAAAGTGCTAATTTTGTGCTTTGATTTCGTTGTTTTTACTCGAGCACTGCTTTAACGCGCGCCAAGAAAAAATTCCAATTAAAATCGTAATAGTGCTTGCTTTTATAATGTAGCGTACTTTATTACGTTCGAGAACGATGAAAGCTTTTTCACGCGCACTCACCATCTCGACGGTTGATTGCTGTATTGAGAAGGTTCGTACTTAAAGGAGTGACACGTGTCTTAATTTCAATAACACGAATGATGCAGCTATTCAATAAAATTTACTACCATATTCGATATTCCGTGAGGTTAATGTACTCTACAAATAGAATCAATGAAACTATCTATTCGAATGTAAGACAATCACTACTTGTATTTTCATACGAAACAACGTAAATACAGCAAAGTGCATAAAAAAGGTTGACGGGGTTGATATACTATATATATATGTAGAGGGTTCGCACGTTTAATTTACGAGCGGCAGAAGCTCCACGTCAAACGCGAGCGCGCGGCACAGCAACTAGTGACGAGGTCGAAAAGTTTTACTACCAATTAAGCTACTACCTAACGTCGTAAAACGCCAACGTTCGCTCGCTCACACACACACGCGCGCGTGCGCGCGCGCACATACACCCTCGCACACTCAAGTGTGTGAGTGCGCGTTGACTTATGCGCCGGAAATGTCCGTAATGATTTATCGCCCAGTCCCGATTTTCCGCAAGAAAAAAACAGCGAGAAGGAGGGAGAGCCAGACCTGATCGTGCATGCATACTTAAGGATACGGTCGTGATAGTAGACTGCTAAAGAGATTTGTCATCGTTTGTCCCTACCCTGCGTTTGGTTGGTTCTTTTTTCTTTCGTCGAGGGTTATGAGATGATTTCGTGCATGTTATTAATTTTGGGGCTTCGGAGTAGTGGATGCGCGAGGGGCGGGCTTTCAAGCTTGTGCTGTGTTTTGCTTGATGATTACTCGTGGCAAGACAAATGGTGAGTTATAATGTTTCGCTTTAGATGCAAGCGTGTCATCGGGCAAATAGATCTCTTTTTCGTCTATAAATTTTGCAATCGCACGCCGGGAACCAGACGTAAATTCAATGGTCACTGTCGCGTAAATTTTATTAACGACGACTGAATCCAAGTTTAATTGATTTCATGTCTCGAATAGTTTGCTTTTACGAAAGAAATATTTGCGTCGGGTGAATTCCACAAACTCGAATCTAGAGCAATGAACATGCCTGTGTGCAACTATGTCAGACTAGCGAAAAACATTCCTGTGCTCAAAAGTGAGTATACAAATTCCCAAAGCAATATCACAAGTTGAAGCTATGTAAGGTTTGTCAAATTGCAGCAGCAGCGTGTGTACCATCTTGACACACTCTCTCATACGAATATAGTTCTGTCTGCTCGAGGGCGTAAAAGCAAATATGCGACATAGAAACAGAAGGAATATCGTCTCACATGACAGTTGCATGTGTGCTTTCAGACGATGAGTCCGGCGAGAAATCGGTGAGCGTGCTGCTAGCCGGCGAGGAATCCGAATTGACTTTCATCGACCATCCTTGCTCCGAGATGACGGTAAGTACACCGCTATTTCTTCTCTGTGTGTGTGGATGTGTGAGTGCGTGTGTGCGCGCGCGTGTGCGTACGTATCGGTGCACGACATGATAGCCTTCCAATGAGTCCTCAACGTGCCTTTCTCGCGCAATGGAATCTCATGACCCACTTTTCTCGCGCAGGATAATCATTGAACTCGGCTGGGATATTCTCGGCCATCGCCGCGTCTTTCGCGCTTAGATTGCTCTTTCATAGCAATCAGTTCGAGAGTTATTGTTATGATAAAACGTCTCTTCGGCAAAGTTTCGAAGAGGTCTTGGGAAAACGATAAGTGGAACGTCAATGGCAAAGGTGGCCGACGCTCGCACGGCTCGGCGGTCTCAAAGAGTAGCGCGCGCCACATTTCAAGAACGCTGGATTATCGGGGAGCAAGCTAATTTGCCCTTGTGCGTCGCTTTGTTGATTGTGCCGCGTGTTGACACGACGTCGTGCCTTTTGCACTGTGTGCGCGTCAATTTTGCAGCCAAACGTACTGCCTTCCTGCCTTCACGGATATCGATGTTTGCTCGATCTCTTCGAGGTCCGTATACACATACGATATCACTTTGATGCGCGGCTTTATGACCAGCCGACGCTTAGTTTACGCTGCGAAACACACGCGCACACACATACATTTAAAGGAAATGTTTCCTGGTGGAACACGAGAAGGATATTTTGCTTGGGGAAAACTGCAAATGCGCTATCAGTGTCACCCGCGAGGAAGATAAATGGCCAAGTGCACTTGCGGAATGTCGATAGTGTGCAGCAAGCACCAAGAGAGATTTTGCATTTTCAGGTTATATTACCGATCGATTTTTTAATTTTTGCCGCCCTTTTTGCACGCTGTGCGGGTTTTTGTTTGCTTGATAGCTAGAAATTGTTCATTCAATCTACGATAACAGTCTTTTTATACGAGTTTTGTATTACGTTATAAACAATGATTGGAGGGTATATTGTTTATGTGGCGGCTTCATTGTTCTATGGTTAGCAGAACGTAAATCGACAGTTATTAAATTCCAGACTCCACTCAAACTAAAACCAAATAAAAGTTTGACATGCATTTTATATCCTGTACGTACATCCAGTGTCAATTTTATAGTACAACTGCTATGTAAGTTACAAAAGCAGCAAGTTTACAGTGTTAAAGTTTGACTGCCATTGCAATCACCCTCTGCGCGACGTATTTATTATTAGAGCTGTGAGAGAGCGAGAAAGAGAGAGAAAGAGAGAGAAAGAGAGAGAGAGATAGAGAGAGAGAACTAATTAAAACAAGGAATGACATCCATGAATATCCGCCATTTATTTTTCAAGGGATGTTTTAATTGGTAGCTTTCTATAGTATGTCGCACGTATACGAGTCACCAGTGACTTGTATAGCACTACGCGCCGCTCAGTCAAGGAAGTTAGGAGTCGCTAGGGGATCTATAAAGCTCTGCACGTGCGTGAAACGGAATTCATAACTTGCACAAAAAAATAAATAAAGAGAGCAAAATAGAGAGAGAGAGAGAGAGAGAGAGAGAGAGAGAGAGAGAGAGAGAGAGAGAGAACAAACGGATATTTCGTAAATATTTCTTTTTCGATGGGCGACGCAACAGCAAAAGTTGCTCTCTCGAGTTGGACTGGATTTTTTTTATTGTTATTTTTGGTGCATTAGCACCGTGAAAGTGAAAAATGTTTATGCCCTCGTCCGCTTGATGTGCACGTGATGAAAATGATAGACAAAATGTGAATTTATTGCGTTTACTTTGCATGCGATATCGATGGTGGAATATTTTCCTCGTTACCCCTTTTCCTTTCTCACGCGTGTAAATATTAACATTTTAGAGCCAACGAACAAATATTTGCCATGCTTTCATGAATATTCTCCCGAAAACTCGAGCGTTCGATATTCTTGCCAAAGCATAATCATCGCCTTTACATACAAATCCAAGTAGAGTAAGCAGAATTTCAGGTAGCCGAAAGTATTTTTAAAATCCTCAGATAGCTTCCGATTCTCGGAATATCTACCTCTAAGATAAGTTGCAGGAGGATCGCATCAGAGAGGCAAAGTAGTTTTCATATCTAACAAGCCGTTCAATTATTCAGTCGTGCGACACGCTAATCCTGATGCTAAAAGCGTATGTCCCTTACTACTACATACCTTCGAGTTTGCTCTCCGCTGAGAATTGAAAGCGATGGGCTTTTGTGCCATTCGTGAATTGGAACGAGAAGTAGGATTTCTATCGTGCAAGGAAATCAATTTGATGCGGCTTGTTATCGCCGTGCTCATGTGTGCGAGGACGAATTTTCGCGCTGCTGATGTGCATCGAGTGAATCTTATTGGGACACTGTGCTCAAGTCGGTTGTTATAAATTTGACTGCTTCAAGGATGAATGTACCTTCAGAAAACTTTTTCTACAAAGCTACAGATTTTGGCGTATCCAAAAATATACCCGCAGTGCGCAAAAAATTTCATCTAATTTCATTCCAATTTGCCAATATACTTTTAATGCAATTTTCACAAGCAGCATCCGTTATTTATTATTATTTTTTTAAAGAAAGATATGCATGGATATCGAATATAGCGAGGAAGTTGATTTAACGCGATTGTCGTTACTTTAGTACCGCAACCGCAATAACTAATGTGAAATGATGATTTATTGCAACGAAAAGTGAAGTGTTACACTTTCCCAGTACTCGAGTGTGGGTAAACTTTTTTTGGCTCGCTCAACCCATGTAATTCACGGGTCATTGGCTTATCTGAATTATGACTCGGCAATTCTCTCCGAATATACATTCCGCGGCAGTAGTGAAATACAGACTCGCACATATTTGAAAAACAGATGCGTAAGCTTTTAAAACAGCATCGAGCCACAATGAATATATCAGAAATTAGTTGGGTCATCTATTATTTTACTTTTTATCTGCCGACTGCAGATTTATTCGCATTGTCGACGAGGACGGCTGTACCACTCGAAACGAGGACAATGAAGCGAAGCGACAGCTTGCTTCGAGCGAAATAGCAAGATAAAGCGTTTCATAAAATCCTGATCTATCGCTTGTTCTTTTTCTCGCTTTGTGTTGTTTTTGCGGAGCAAAGTCCTTGCGCTTGACTGAATTTTTGTTCTCCTCCTGACCCTTTAAACTATATATACCTCACCTGCTTATTTTTGGAGTCGTTATTTTATAGCTTGTCTTGCAGTATCGAACTTTTCTGGTGTAATCGCCTTTCCGGGTGCAACTTGGTCATTTTATCTTCATTTCTCTGAGATTTCAAGACGGCAAACAAGTTCGATAACAAAAAACAATAACAACTGTTTCTCTTGTTTTACAATTTTTTTTCTGATATGGTTTTTATGCTAATTTGTTATTGTCATTAATCACCGTTTTATCTTATTAATATACTTTCAATGACAAACACGTGCACATTTACTTGGGTCTCTCGATAACAACATCGAAGCATTATTGCAGAAAGTGCTGAGTTTTTAAAAGTTTAATAATTGGATGACCAAGCACTTGGTGGCTTTTCCTACATTACATTTTTATTATTTCTGAAATTCATGAAATATTTTATGGAATTTGTTTTTTGTAATTTACTCGGAGCTACAAAAACAGGGGTTGTTTCTGCAATGTTACTGATGAGTTTAGTCAACAACCCCGATGACACGCTCAGTACCTTAGCAACAGCCTTTCTATATTCCTATTTACGCTATGGCTTGTATCACCAAATATGTATGCGATAATATTCCACTGGACTTTCTAGTAAAGTTCCGCAAGATAAAATTTTTCACGCTTTCATAAAAATGTTTAGTATCAATAGTCGCAAAGAGAGAATCTTAAATCTTTTGCAGAATAATTTTTGCATCAGCGAGCTTTTGCGAGAAATAACAGGTTCATTGAATCCACCAAGTTTTGAAGTGAAATACAACTTTGAAAAGTTTTTCTTGCAAGTTACGGGGAACACGAGCAGACTTTACATAGTAATAACGTTCATTAGAATAAAAATGAAAATATATGACTGCATTCTTGTGCAAATGTAACTCTAGAGATTAGAGTCTAGTAAAAAGAAATAAAAAAATATGTTCTCAAGATGTGAAATTGGAATCATTCATCTTCCGGACATGTTAGAGAGATAGATGTTTTGAAAATTTTCACTTAAAAGTTATGTTATACCGAATTTCATTTGAAAAATGTAAAAAAAATTTCCATCAATGTAACGAATTCTGAGAAGAGATTGTTATCATAGTAACTTTTTACGAGATTATAAATATTGTGGAAAACCTAATACGACAATCGACGAACAAAAGTATTTGATAATAAAGTTTCAAAACGTTTTTATATCAATACGCTTACTAAAAATACATTGGAATGCTCACTTTACCATGAAAAGCATCATTTTAAACAGTTTAAAAATCATTAAAATTGGACATCAGTTCTACAACAGAAAAGAGAAATCAATTTCAGATCGAAAAAAATACCCTTGTTATAGTCACAGAACAAAAACCCGTCCAACATAGGCTTACGCGTCAACGTCAAAATCTCGAGGATATCGAACAATACACACAAGAAAATGACCGGAATCGACATATTCACACCCATACGTATACGTAAATGTTTTATTCAGCCAACTGAAATAGCGGTTTCCGAAATCCATGACATCAATTATCAATCTGTCAAAGTTGCATAATCCCTACGAAACGAAGCAATGCCAAGTCAACGGCCACGGTTCAAAACTTTGATTGGGGCTAAAAGTTGCTTTCCACGCACTTACACTCGAACACCAAACGAATTCTACACTTGTCGCAAAGATAATTGAATAAGTTTAATGCGCACGCGTGCACCACACATTACGCTCGCCGACAATCGCTTGGAAAATTGTTTTCGCGCGTGTACCATTCTTCGCTCTTGATAACGAGCTTTAGCCCCGTAGTACTTCTATCGATAGGATTTTGAGTATATAACAACATCAGACGATGCTGATCTCGTTATAGCTGACAGAGTGT